GCCGACCGCGCCCTCGCGCCCCGCCGCAGGTGCGCGCCCGGCTTCTTCGGGAACCCGCTGGTGCTGGGCAGCTCCTGCCAGCCGTGCGACTGCAGCGGCAACGGCGACCCCAACCTGCTCTTCAGCGACTGTGACCCCCTGACCGGCGCCTGCCGCAGCTGCCTGCGCCACACCGCCGGGCCCCGCTGTGAGAGCTGCGCCCCCGGCTTCTACGGCAACGCCCTGGTGCCCGGCAACTGCACCCGTAGGCGGGGAGCGGCGGGCGGGAGCTCGTGCGGAGGGGCGGGCGATGCTCCCGGGAGAGTGAGGGCCCGGCGGGCGTGGGGGCCGGGCGTGGGGGCCGGGCGGGCGATGCCCCCGGGAGAGCGAAGCGAGAGCGAAGGACGTGGGGCGGAGGAGGTCCGCGTTGGGCGGGAGCTCAGGAAGGGGAGGGGCGTCAGGGCCACTGTCACAGCACCCCTTCTGCAGGGTGTGACTGCTCCGCATGCGGGACAGAGACCTGCGACCCCCACAGTGGGCACTGCTTGTGCAAGGCAGGCGTGACTGGGCTACGCTGTGACCGTTGTCAGGTACGGCTTCCTGGTAGGGCGGGGCCTGCAGGCAGGGGGTGGGGCCTCTGGGGCAGGGGGCGGGGCGGGGCCTGGAGGTGGGGCCTCCGGGCAGGGGCGGGGCGTGCGGGCGGGGAGGGCGGAGCCTGACCGCAGTCTGTGCCGCAGGAGGGATACTTCGGCTTCCAGGACTGTGGGGGCTGCCGCCCATGCGCCTGTGGCCCAGCCGCGGAGGGCTCCGAGTGCCACCCCCAGACTGGGCAGTGCCCCTGCCGGCCGGGGGCCGGAGGGCCCCAGTGCCGCGAGTGTGCCCCTGGCCACTGGGGGCTGCCTGAGCGGGGCTGCCGGCGTGAGTACGGATGGTGGGGGCTGTGGGGTGGCCGGCGCCCTGGGACCCCTGCCAGCCGCTCACCCCGCCCCTCCCCCTACCTAGGCTGCCAGTGCCAGGGGGGCCACTGCGACGTGCACACGGGCCACTGCACCTGCCCCTCCGGGCTCAGTGGGGAGCGCTGTGACGCCTGCAGCCAACAGCACGAGGTGCTGGTGCCTGGCGGGTCCGGGGGCCATGGCGTCCACTGTGAAGGTGCGTCGCTGTGCCCTAGGCCTGCTCCTTCTGGGTGCACTTGGGGGCATGTGAGTCCCAGCCCTCATGACCTGGTGACCCCTCTGTTAATCTCCACTTCCAGAGACACCCTGCGACCTCAGCTCCCTCTCATGTTTCCCAGGGACCCCTGGGCTCCACGCTGACCTCACTCCCGCCTTCCAATTCCCAAGTCCAGAACTCCCCAGCTGACCCCTACCGCCCCCGGACCCACCCCGAGCTTAAATACTGACCTCCTGGCACCTGCCCCATTCCCTACTGACTTCTTGATCTCCATGCTGACCTTTCAATTGATCCTGCAAAGGCCATGCTTACCTCTGACTCCCACTAACCTTGTCACCTCCAGCCTGGCTCAGTATTCCCGTGCCAACTCCATGACCCTTGGCCGACCCATCCCCACCGCGCTGACCCCGTGAGTCCTTCCCCAGCCCTGCACTGACCCCCTGTGCTGCCCGCAGTGTGTGACCACTGTGTGGTCCTGCTCCTGGACGACCTGGAGCGGGCTGGCGCCCTCCTCCCCGCCATCCGGGAGCAGCTGCGCAGCATCAACACCAGCTCCGTGGCCTGGGCCCGGCTGCACAGGCTGAACGCCTCCGTCGCCGACCTGCAGGTACCTCTCAGCCCGGCCCCCCCACACTGCTCTCTCGGGTTGCGGGCTCTCACCTTCCGTCCTCCCCAGAGGCAGCTCCAGAGCCCTCTGGGCCTCCGCCACGAGACGGTGCAGCAGCTGGAGACCCTGGAACAGCAGAGCTCAAGCCTCAGACAGGACGCACAGAGGCTGGACGGCCAGGCAGGACCCTGGGGATGTCTGCCCGGGAGGCCCCTCCCCAAAGCTCCCTGGGATGCTCCTCCCCTCCAAAGCCCCTTTCCCTGGGACCCTTCCCCTTCAGTAGACTGCAACCCCCAGAGGCCCCTCTCCCGGGGCCCCAGACTGTCCAGTGTCGCCCCTGATCCTCGGTTCAGGCTGTGGCCTGACACGATGCTGTGTCCACAGGCCACAAGAGTTCTCGCCGAGGCCGGCCGGCTGCTGGACAGCACTGAGGCCTCCCTGGGTCAGGCGCAGACGCTACTGGTGGCCATCAGGGCTGTGGACCGCATCCTGAGTGGTAGGGGCCAGCCCAGCTGGGCAGAGGATGGTGGGCAAACAGAATGGTGCTCAGGGTCGGGGCAGGGTTTGAAGAACCGGCAGGGTTTTGGCTGTGTAGACGTGGCTGAGTGAACAGCAGGGCAATGTGGGAGGCAGGAGAGGATGTGGTGTGGTCAGACGGGGCAGGTGGGCACTGAGGGGCATGCTGGTGCCCTCTTTGGGGATACCATGCCCCCCCTTGGAGGTGCCCTGCTCCATGGGAAAACTTGGTGGTGGATACCTGAGTTACAAACAGACCTGTTGCCAAAAGAAGAGACTGGGGGGACGTGGCCCAGCCCAGGGGTCGGGGAGGAATGAAATTGCAGCTGAGTGCTGACCTGGAGCAGGGGCTGGCTGGGCCAGGTGGAGCAGATGGGCAGCGGGGTGTTGGGGTGGGGGCTGAGGAAGGTGAGAGGGTGGGGGCGAGGAGCTCAGGCAGCCGAGCAGCCGAGCGGAGCTGTGTCCTGGAGCCATCCGGGGCATTTCTGGGTTGTGTGCGGGCACTCTGAGCATGCTTGGGTGGGGTCTCGGGCGTGGGAGCTAGTGGGCAGAGGTCTGCTTGGGCAGCAGGCCGGCCCTGATTGCCCCCACCCTCCGCCGCATAGAGCTCGAGTCCCAGACGGACCACCTGTTCCCGGCCAACGCCTCAGCCCCGTCAGGGGAGCACGTGCGCCGGACACTGGCTGAGGTGGAGCGGCTGCTGGGGGAGATGCGGGCCCGAGACCTGGGTGCCCCGAGAGCAGCGGCTGAGGCCGAGCTGGACGCGGCCCAGAGACGTGAGTGGCTGAGATCAGCTTGAGATGCGGCAGACGGGGGCTGGGTGGGCACTGGGCGGGGACCCGGAGTTCCTGCCCGGACAACCATCCCCACTTGGGGTCTGGGCCAGTGCTGGCCCGTGTGCAGGAGCAGCTGAGCAGCCGCTGGGAGGGGAACCGGGCACTGGCCGCGCGCGCCCGGGACCAGCTGGCCCAGCACGAGGCTGGCCTCATGGACCTTCGAGGGGCCCTGAACCGGGCAGTGGGCACCACTCGGGAGGCTGAGGAGCTCAACAGCCGAAACCAGGAGCGCCTGGAGGACGCCCTGGTGAGGGGCCCTCCTCTCCTGCTCCCTTCCCCCGCTCCCCCCCACCCTGCGGCCCCTTGTCCCCACCGTGTCATACCTCTGCTCTTGTCACCCTTTCTTCCCCGTGGCCTTCAGCACCGGAAGCAGGAGCTGTCCAGGGACAATGCCACTCTGAGGGCCACTCTGCAGGCCGCCAGTGACACCCTGGCCCAGCTCTCTGGGCTCCTGCATGGTATGGACCAGGCCAGGGAGGTGAGTGCCGCCCCTCTTGGGGGCACCGAGGCAGGTTCCGATGGCGGTCTGCACGCAGCGCGCGGCTTCTGGGTTCCCAAATCAGGGGAGAGTGAGTAAGGGATCGGGTTGTGGGTCCCACTTACGCCCCCCACCTGTCCCCACCCAGGAGTATGAGCACCTTGCTGCCAACCTGGATGGGGCCCGGACACCCCTGCTGGAGAAGATGCGGGCCTTCTCCCCCGCAAGCAGCAAGGTGGAGTTGGTGGAGGCTGCGGAGGCCCACGCACAGCAGCTGGACCAGCTGGCCCTCAACCTGTCCAGGTGCGAGGCCTGCAGGGCGCCCCGGGGATGCAGCCGGGTCCTTGCTGGGACACAGCCAGTCGGGGAGGGCTCCTGGAGGAAGAGGCCATTGTCCCCACGAGGTCCTAGCCCAAATGGGGTGCAAGGGATAAGAAAGGCATGCCTGGCGGGCAGCAGGGCAGGGGCAAAGGGTCGGGGGCTGGAGGGGGCAGGCAGACTGGCCCGGCAGCTGTGACAGCAGGAGAGCCTGAGCTGTCTGGGCCCGGGCCCCCGACCACACATCCTGTGTCCCTCTCCTGCCCCCACACAGCATCATCCGTGGAGTCAACCAGGACCGCTTCATCCAGCGGGCCATCGAGGCCGCTAACGCCTACGGCAGCATTCTCCAAGCCGTGCAGGCCGCCGAGGGGGCTGCTGGTCAGGCGCTGCGGCAGGCGACCCACACGTGGGCGGTGAGGCCCTGGCCCTCCCCACAGCCCCAGGAGGAGCCCCTGCCTCCCTCCCCGCCCCACGACCCGACCCTGGTTCCCACCAGGCAGGTATGAACCGCATCCTGCCCCCATATCTGCAGATGGTGGTGCGGGGCGGCCTGGCATCCCGAGCCCAGGACCTGTTGACCAACAGCAGTGCCCTGGCAGAGGCCACCATCAGGGGGCAGCAGAGGCTGGGCCGCGGTGAATGCTGGGGAGCCCTATGTCCGGTCCCATGGGGGGCGGTGGATGGGACCGGTGGTCGTAGGTGATGGTGGGAGGGAGGGTGATGGCTGCCCTGTGTGGGAGTCCTGCTTACCACCGGCTCGGCATGTTGCCCTGGGGACTATGGGGGCGCTGGGAAGGGGTTCCTCCTACTGTCCCGATGGGAGCCAGGTGGATGAGAAAGGGCAAAGGGCACACGCTCTGCTGCTAGACCCTCAGGGTGCTGGCGGCCCCCGGGCAGTGGCCTGGCTCTCCTGAGCTTCCCTTGTGTGACCTTTGGAACGGAGATAATTACATCTGCGGGGGGGCCGGTGCCTCCCCAAGCTGAGGGCCCTCGGGTCTGGATGTCTCCGTCTGTGTGCACGTTGGCCTTGTCCCCTCCTGGTGAGGTGGGCCGAGGTGGGCTGTACCTGCACGCTGGGAGTGAGGCTGCCTTCCCCCGCAGTGCGGGCTACCCTCCAGGGCACTGGGACCCAGCTCCGAGATGCCCAGGCCAAGAAGGAGCAGCTGGTGGCCCGAGTCCAGGAGGTACAGGCCATGCTGGCCATGGACACCGGTAGGTTGCTCCTCGCCCCTGCCCTGGCCCTCTGCTTATCCCAAGGTGGACAGCACCCCCCCATGGGCAGGGTGCCAGCTGGGGCTCTCCAGTGGGCACTTGGGGGGGGGTTGTGTTTACACCCATGGTGTCCAGAGCGCTGGGCAGGAAGCCACACAAAATAGTTCTAAGGAGCAGGTGAAAGTGGGAAGGGAACAGGAAGTGCTTTGGAGAGAAATAGAAGTGGGTTTGGGGGAGCACAGGGAGTGTGCAGCAGGGACATTTCATCCCCCAAAGTTGGGGGCACGGGCCTGCTCGGGCTCCCAGGAAGGACATCAAGAGAGGGGACAGTAGGTTGGAGGGCATGAGGTGGAGGTGGGAGCGCGGAGGCCAGTGTGGCTGGAGCCAAGGACCCGGGGAAGGCCTCTGGGCAAGGGGTGGTGCGCCTGACGCAGGTCGATCTGTGCAGCCGCCAACTTGGGTAGAAGGTCCCAGCAAGCTCGGACCTGGGGGCTGTGGAGGTTCAGGCAGGGCGCTGGGACAGATGATGGTGGCCGTGGGGGGCCGGGGCTGAGCTGACGGGTGTCGGGGTGACCAGGCTGTGGTCTGAGAGGCTGGCACAGGGAGCTGTCCGGGCAGGACACACACGTGGTGTTCCTGCTGCTTGTGGTTCCCGGGAGATCGGTGGGGGCTGGGCCCCCTGTTGCTGGACCTTGTTAAGGTGGGGCTGGTGGTCCCCCCCCGCCCACTGCAGAGGGGAGGTGAAGCCAGGACGGTCCTTGCCCGTGTCCCTCTGAGCTTGCCTGTACATTGCCCGCCACAGACGAGACAAGCAAGAAGATTGCTCACGCCAAAGCTGTGGCCGCCGAAGCCCAGGACACGGCCGCCCGCGTGCAGTCGCGGATTCAGGACATGCAGAAACACCTGGAACAGTGGCAGGGCCAGTACGGAGGCCTGCGGAGCCAGGACCTGGGCCAGGTGGTACTCGACGCGGGCCGCTCAGGTGGGCCCCGGGATCCCCTGATGCGGGGGTGGGGGGTGGCCAGGGACTGGGTGAGGCCAGGCTGTCCGGGTCACACCCTCTGCTCCCTGCAGTGTCCACCCTGGAGAAGACGCTGCCGCAGCTGCTAGCCAAGCTGAGCCTCCTGGAAAACCGTGGCACGCACAACGCCAGCCTGGCCTTGTCCGCCAGCATTGGCCGCGTGCGGGAGCTCATCGCCCAGGCCCGCGGAGCTGCCAGCAAGGTGAGAGCAAGCGCCAGGGCACAGTCGCCTCTGGAAGACCAGGCAGCAGACACTGCTGAGCCACGCGCCCCCCCGTCCACAGGTCAAGGTGTCCATGAAGTTCAATGGGCGCTCAGGGGTGCAGCTGCGTGCCCCGCGGGACCTCTCCGACCTCGCCGCCTACACTGCTCTCAAGTTCTACCTCCAGAGTCCAGAGCCGGAGTCTGGCCAGGTCCCCGGGGATCGCTTTGTGCTCTACATGGGCAGCCGCCAGGTACCAGGCGGGCAGGACGGGCACGGCGGGCTGGGCGAGGCCGGGCACTAGCTGGGAGCCGGCAGGCGGGGCTGGGTCCCCGTCCCGCTGAGTCTCCTGTCGCCGCAGGCTGTCGGGGACTACATGGGCGTGGCTCTGCGGAACCAGAAGGTGCACTGGGTGTACCACCTGGGGGAGGCGGGCCTCGCAGCCCTCAGCGTCGACGAAGACATCGGGGAGCAGTTCGCAGCAGTCAGCATTGACAGGTGTGTGGCCCGGCCCCCTGTGCTCCCCTCACCGCCTGGCGGGGTCCACTCCTCACCCCCCCTCTGCCTTCAGGACCCTCCAGTTTGGTCACATGTCTGTCACGGTGGAGAAGCAGATGCTCCATGAGACCAAGGGCGACACAGTGGCCCCTGGGGCCGAGGGGCTGCTCAGTTTGCGGCCTGACGACTTTGTCTTCTATGTGGGGGGCTACCCCAGCCACTTCACGGTGAGCCTGGCCTGGTGGGGGGCGGCCCGGCACTCCTGTCCCAGCAAGTCCTGCTCCATATCCGGCTGCACACTGAGCGCCCTCCCTTGGGTCTGCCTGGGGGCGAGGAGCCCTGACTGTGCCCCCTGCCCACAGCCCCCTGAGCCCCTCCGCTTCCCTGGCTACCTGGGCTGCATTGAGATGGACACGCTCAACGAGGAGGTGCTCAGCGTCTATAACTTCGAGGAGACCTTCCAGCTGGACACAGCCGTGGACAGGCCTTGTGCCCGGTACGTGCAGCTAGGGCCCGGCCCTCATCCCGCTGCGGCCGGCTCTCGGCTGACTCCTGTGACCTCTGACCTGTAGCTCCAAGTCGACCGGGGACCCGTGGCTCACAGATGGCTCCCACCTGGACGGCTCCGGCTTCGCGCGCATCAGCGTGGAGAGTCAGATCGGCATGACCAAACGCTTCGAGCAGGAGATACGGCTTGTGTCCTCCAACGGGATCATCTTCTTCATGCGGCACCAGGCACGCGGGCTGCCCGGCCCCAGCGCACGTCGCCCCCTCCGCTCCCCACCGTGTACTGACCCTGCCCCTCCCCCCAGGACCAGTTCCTGTGCCTGGCCGTGCAGAAGGGCAGCCTCCTCCTCCTCTACGACTTTGGCGCAGGCCTGATGCGGGCCAAGCCGCAGCACGAGGACATGCAGAAGCTGCTGACCATGACCACGGCCAGCAAGGCAGTAAGGCTGGGCTCGGGGGAGGGCTCGGGGGCTCCGGGAGGACCTGCAGGACCCACGGCGCACCCTAAAGCCCTGGCCCGTGGGCACCCTGCAGATCCAGGTGTTCCTGCTGGGGGGTAATCGCGGCCGTGTGAGCCGCGTGCTGGTGCGCGTGGAGAGGAACAACGTGTTCAGCGTGGACCACAGCAGCTCGCTGGAGCTGGCCGACGCCTACTACCTGGGGGGCGTGCCGCCCGACCAGCTGCCCCCGAGGTGAGCGGGCAGCCGGGGCGCGGCCGGGGGGCAGCCGGGGGGCGGCTGGGGTCTCGAAGGCGGCGGCGGCCTCATGCTCATCCCCTGCAGCCTGCAGCAGCTCTTCCCCTCCGGAGGCTCAATCCGCGGCTGCATCAAGGGCATCAAGGCTCAGGGCAAGTACGTGGATCTCAAGAGGCTGAACACGACGGGCATCAGCTCGGGCTGCACTGCTGACCTGCTGGTGAGCCCACTCCCACCCTGGCCGGCAGCACCCCCTCCAGGCCTGTGCCGCGGGCCCTCATGGTCCCCCTCCTGCAGGTGGGACGGGCCATGACTTTCCACGGCGACGGCTACCTGTCCCTGGAGCTCCCTGATGTCCCCCCCGTCTCGGGCCACATCTACTCCGGCTTCGGCTTCCGCAGCACCCAGGACGCTGGTCTGCTCTACCACAAAGCGTTCCTGGTGCGTGCGCCCCCGCTCCCAGCAGCGGCCACGTGGGGCTCGGGGGGCTGGGGGGCGGGAGTCCGGGCCCCGGCCCGGTCTGCTGACCTGGCCACTGTCCCCAGGATGGGCCATACCAGGTGTCCCTGCAGCAGGGCCGTGTGACACTGCAGCTGCTGAGGACAGAGGTGAAGACTCGAGGGAGCTTTGCCGACGGCGTCCCCCATTATGTGGCTTTCTACAGCAACGACACAGGGTGAGCCTGGCCCACCGGGCCTCTGGCAGCGGTGTCCAGGGACAGGAAGGCGGCAGTGCGGTGGGCGGATGGGGCAGGGCGGGGGAAACACTGCTCCTCCCTGCAGGGTCTGGCTCTATGTGGACGACCAGCTTCAGCAGATGAAGCCCCACCAGGGGCCGCCCCCCAGGCCCCAGCCTCAGGAGTCCCAGAATCTCTTCTTAGGAGGTTTGTCCAAGACTGGCGACTACTTCAACTTCAAGGGCTGCATCAGCAACGTATTCGTGATGCGGTGAGCTGCGGGCGGGGGGCGCAGGGGGGCGTGGGGGCCAGTGCCCACCCCCCACCCCTCCAGTGCTGACCGCGCCATCCTCCTCAGGCCTGTGGGGCCGCAACGTGTATTCGACCTGCAGCAGGACTGGAAGAAAGTCAACGTGAGCTCAGGCTGTGCCCCCACCCCGCGCACCCAGACCCCAGGGCAGGCACCTCGAGGACTGAGGGCCGCAGCGGCGCGGAAGGTGGGGCACCCGGAGGCTGGTGTGCGGGCAGGGGGGGTGGTCGGTCAGAAGGCGGTCCCACGCATTCCTGCTTCCGATCTGATCCCCTCAGCCCGGCCGACGCAGCCGCCAGCCCCCCCCGGACCCTGCCTGCACACCACCCTGGCCTCCCAGGACCATCCAAGATGCCTACCAGTTTGGGGGCCCCCTGTCCAGTTACTTGGAGTTTGCCCACATCCCGGCACCCCCCGGGAACTGGTAAGGCTGGGCCGGGTGGGGAGGGTGCGGAGGGGCCGCCCAGGCTGACGGCCTTGCTTGGCTTCCAGGTCCCACCTCTCGATGCTGGTCCGCCCTCGCACCCCACGAGGACTCCTGCTGCTCGCTGCCCCCCTCACGGCCAGCAGCCCTTCTCTGCTTCTCCTCCTGAGCCACGGACACTTTGTTGCCCAGACAGAGGGCCCTGGGCCCCAGCTCCGTGTCCAGAGCCGCCAGCGTTCACGGGCTGGCCGGTGGCACATGGTGAGAGAAGCTGAGGAGGGGACACGGGCCGGGTCCTGGGAGCTCCCACTCTGACGTGCCCCCTCCTGCCCCCAGGTGTCTGTGCGGTGGGGAAAGACTCGGATCCAGCTGGCGACAGATGGGGTCTGGGCCCAGGACCAGGAGGGGCCCGGCCAGCAGCACCAGGGGGCAGGGAGCCCCCGGCCCCAGATTCTCTTTGTGGGGGGCCTCCCTGCCAGTGGCTTCAGCCCGAGGCTCCCAGTGAGAACCCCTTCCATCTACCCCCGCAACCCTAAACCACCTCGCTCCGCACCCCGCCCCCTGCTCTCACTTCCACCCCCCTCCCCGGCTGAACGGCCCTCCCCAGCCCCGGGACCTTGCCCCACACCAGCCCATCTGTGTCCCCGCAGGTGGCCACCGGCAGGTCTGGCTTCAGTGGCTGTGTGAGGAGACTGAGGCTGGACGGGCGGCCCCTGGGGGCCCCGACACGGGTGGTGGGGGTCACGCCGTGCTTCTCAGGCCCCCTGGAGAAGGGCCTGTTCTTCGCAGACAGCGGGGGTGTGGTCACCCTAGGTCTGTAGGGCGTGGGTGTGCCCCTGGCCCAATGGGGCAGGAGCGGGGCTCCAGAAGGGGGGAGCCCGGGCAGCCCTGCCCCTCCTCACAGCCCCCTTCTCACAGACACCGCGGGGGCCGTGCTGCCTCACGCGGCCCTGGAGCTGGAGGTACGGCCTCGGACGGCCACCGGCCTCATCTTCCACCTGGGCCGGGTCCAGGCACCGCCCTACCTGCAGCTGCAGGTGCGGGCCGAGCAGGTGAGCCATGGGAGAGGGGGCTACGGCCGCAGCGGGGGATTGGGGTTCGCAAGGCCGTCCTGACCTCCCCCCACTCCCCCGCCCCCAGGTCCTGCTGCGGGCGGATGATGGTGCAGGGGAGTTCTCCACGTGGGTGATGTGCCCGGCGGCCTTGTGTGACGGCCAGTGGCACCGACTGGCGGGTAAGCTGGCCCCACCCCCATCCCTGCTTTTCTGCTGAGTACAGCACCCAGGAGGGAACAGTGGTGAGCCCCCCCAGGCAGGCTGCATGGCAAACAGCCCCTGGCCCCGCCCCCCGTCACAAGGACCCTGTGCCCACAGTGACCAGAAGCGGGAACGTGCTCCAGCTGGAGGTGGACGCACGGAGCAACCAGACCCTGGGCCCTGCGCTGGTGGCCTCCATGGCCACCGCCCAAGCACCTCTGCACCTCGGGGGCCTGCCTAGTGAGTGCAGCCTTAGCCTGGGGTGGGAGTTGCCCCTCCAGGACCAGGCATCGGGTCACCCCACTCTCACCCCACCCTCCTGTGATGGGGCAGCCAGGGAGACTGAGGCGTGGCAGGAGGGGGGGCAGTGGGCCGCTGGCCTCTGCTCTGACCTGTCTCCCCATCTTCCCCTACTCCCCTAGAGCCCACGAACACACAGGCTAGGCCTCTAGCCTATCGCGGCTGCATGAGGAATCTGATGCTGAACGGGTCCCCCGTCACCTGGTCTCGCTCTGTGGGCATCCAGGGGGCAGTGGGGGCCAGCGGCTGCCCAGCCACCTAGCAAGCTGCCCCTCCAGCAGCCACGCAGGAGAGCCTTCGGGGGCCCCGGCCTGGCGTCCACAGGAGGGCCGCCCTGGGCAGGCAGGCTCCCACCTCTCAGAGCCTCCAGCCCCTGCAATTCAGCCCACTTCACATCAAGTCTATTTATTTGGACTCTAGATTCTAGGGGTGATGAATCTTTTTGAAAACGATTTAAGTTATACCGGACATTTTAAACTGGCGTTTTTAATACTGTTTATCTTTCAGCTTCATGATGAGATTTTCCCTCCACCAATTTTTCGTAACATCAGAAATCTGCCCTGCTTCTTAAAAATTAAAAAGTAGAGGTGCCTGGGTGGCTCAGTCCTTAGGCGTCTGCCTTCAGCTCAGGTCATGGTCCCAGGGTCCTGGGATCGAGCCCCGCATCAGGCACCCTGCTCAGAGAGGAGCCTGCTTCTCCCTCTCCCACTTCCCCTGCTTGTGTTCCCTCTCTCGCTGTGTCTATGTCAAATGAATAAATAAAATCTTAAAAAAAAAAAGTAACTTCTGTTTGAGTGTTGACTTCAAATGTGAAAGGAGGAGAGCAGTCGGTCAGAGGCAGATCTAGACCCTGGACATGCCCGTGGGGGGAACCACCTGCCCAGGGGGCTCCCCTCACACCGGCTCCCCTCCTGGGCACACAGGAAAACCAGAGGTGGCAGGTAAAAGACAAGACCTTTATTTCTCAGCAAGCTGGAACGGAGGTGAGGGCGTGTACCGCACCACAAGCCCCATCACTGAGGTCGCCAGCCGCAAATCCCGACCCCTTGGGGACACCAGTTAATTAATCTAAGCTCATGTCTTCCTCTTCGTCCTTCTTGTCCTTCCCGTCACCCTCCTGCTCGGATCTGGCACTGTTCTGCATAGCTTTGGCAAATGCTTCCACATCTAAAATGCATTTAAAAACACGAGGTGACCTTTCTAGACCCTGGCCTGGAACTGCTGACCGGAGCGAACATAAAAATTTCTAGACTGAGGCCCAGGACCCCCGAGATGCCCCAGCCAGGCCAGCCAGCCCTATGATGTGCAAACTCTGCCTTCGCCACGCGGGGTGGGGAGGGTGGGGGTGGGGGGGCAGGCACTTACCGCCCTTGTTGGCGGCCTCCACGGCCTCTGCAGGCAGGCCAAACTGGCACATGAGGGGACCCAGCTGCCCAGAGGCCAAGGCCGCGCTGAACATGCCCAGGGCCTGCAAAGGAAAGCCAGACACTCCTGAGCACTCACTTGGCAAAGGCCCTGGGGGGGGGGGGGAGGTGCCTGGGCCAGTCGCAGGTACAAGGACGCTTGGTGACAGGGAGCTACGTGGAAGGTAAGCCATGTCCCCTGCCACCAAGCACACAGCAGGGGGCACCCAGGCCACAGCATCTACCTGCTGGAACTGGGGCGAGGTCAGCGTGTTCTGGATCTCCTCTGCCGTCTGCGGCAGTGACTCCCCGGAGGGCAGGTAGGGCAGCAGGCGCTCCTGGACGTCCGCGTTGGCAAGGATAGGTGCCATGATCTCGGGCGTCAGAACACTGGCCAGGTCAACTAAGGCGTAAGCACACGGCCATCAGCGGCTGGAGGCCAGCCACAGATGCCCGAGCCATGACCTCACTGGGTGTGGTGAGGGAAGGGGGCAGCGGCTCAGCCCAGGGACATGCTTGGCCCCATGCCTTGGAAAGCCAGCAAGCGAGCAGGCAGGGGGCAGCAGGCACCTTCACCCCCCCAGCCTGGAGCCGAGCAGCATGTTACCTTGCTGGCCGCCTCCTGGCCCGGCCGGCACGTTCATAGTAGCTAGAATGCTCTGAAGGTCGCTCAGCTGGATGGGCTGGGTTGGGCTGGCTGCCGTGCTGGTTCCATTACCTGAACTGGGTGCGGGGCTCGGGCTGGTCACCGAGGCAGCTGCTGGAGCAGAGGGGGCTGGGGTGGCTCGGGTAGAAGAGGTGGTGGAGGACGGGGTGACGGCTGCCGACTGGCTCCGGGAGCTGGGAAGAGCGAGGGCAGCAATGGAGCGGCCAGGCACCCTAAAAGCGCCCACAGCAAGTCGTCCTGTGGCAGGGGTCCCTGAACTGCTGGGAATCCGTCTAGACCCCGAAAAGTACCCTCCCCAGGTGTCTTTTCCGTCCTTCCGCATCTCCTATGTCCAGTCTCCTTGAAGGTGGGGGACCCCTGGTGGCACCCAGGCATGGTGGGGCAGAGGACAAGGCTCACCTGGATGAAGAGCTGCTCGCTGGAGGCCCCCCACTCCCCAGTAAGCTGGCCAGGCCTGGCCCGGTCAGGGCCCCCAGCCCACCTGCAAGAAGACATGAGCTCAGACGCCATGCTCTCCGGAAGAGCCCACCTCACCGCCAGACATCCCGTGCTAACACCAAGGGACAAGCAGGGAGAAGTGGTGACCACAGTGGGCTGGGGTGCCGGAGTAGCAATGGCTCAGACTGTAGCGTTCTGGAAGCTTATTCCGCAAGTCAGATCGTTTCTGTCTCCCGTTCCACTAACAACACACTTAGGTCCAAGGTAACACGCAGTCCAAACCTGGCAGAGTAGCAAGTGTTTCCCTGCCGCCCAAGAAACACACCGATCCCAGCCCAACAGAAGGCGGCAGCGGGCAGGCCCACCAGAGGGGAACCAGAGCAGAGGGCCCCAGGCAGGAGCCCCGCTCCCAGGCCAGCTGTGCTCCCCTCGAGTACAGAGCTGGGTCCTCACCATGGACCAGCTCCCAGCTCAAACCACAGAGCATGCGGCCCTTCCCAGGGAAGCTGGCACAGGGAACACACGTTCACAGATGTCACTGAGAGCCAATGAGAAGGAAAAACTCAAATCCCAAAGCAACCGTGACTGAAGGTTGTCCACTCCTAACACAGGGGTTACCCAGTCCTCCGAGGCCAGCAGGTCCGATGAGCTGCATGAGCTGGCTGTGGCTCATGTTCCCCAGCAGGCTCTGCAAGCCGCCCTCGCCTGTAAGACAGAAGGGGTCAGACTTGGGGCTGCCGGGTGCCCGGGTCGACACCCACGGGGCCATGGGGAGGCTGGGGGCCTTGGGCTGAGATAGCACGCACCGTGATCCCTCCCTTGGGCTTTCCCCGCACTGTACAGAAGCGCCTGGAAGGAGCCAACAGGGCGGAGCTCAGATAGTTTTATCACCAGAAGCTGGGCGGAGGCTTGCACTTGGAACTAAGAGGCTTCTGACTTGAAAGCCTCCATTTCTACTTAAAAACAACCGGCCCGGGGGGCGCCTGGGTGGCTCAGTGGGTTGAGTGTCTGCCTTCAGCTCAGGTCATGATCTCAGGGTCCTGGGATCGAGCCCCTCGTCGGGCTCACTACTCAGCGGGGAGCCTGCTTCTCCCTCTTCCTCTGTCCCTCCCACCTGCACATGCTCTTTTATTAAAAAAATGAAATAAAAACCAAAACCAAAACCAAAAACCACCAGGCTGCATCATCAGGAATACACGTCACTGACATCCACTGACATGCCAACACGTTCTGGAAGGTGACCATTACCGCCCAGTGCAGAGAGCTCATGGCCTCCACTCCCGCTTGCCCCCAGCGCTCCAGGCATCGGAGGATTGTTCAGATACTCGTTGACCTTCCGGCAATGCTCCTCGTCCTGGTCTGTCTTGGGCTCCTGTGGGGGGAGGACAGGACCACAGCTGCAACGGAGCGGCCCGCTGCCAGTGACATGGCTTACAGACGAGAGGGTCGACAGGTGCAGGTACCAATCCACAGCCACGCAGCACTGAGGAGAGAACCCAGCAGGGCCTAAAGGAACAGCAGCCCGTTGAGATCGCTGTGCTGCGGCAATGTTCGTTTTGAGGGCGGGAAGACTAAAGCACCGAGGGCGCCCAGTCTGCACCCAGCGACGCCTTCCGACCCTCCAGAATTTCGTGCTTTCCACAACAGTCTAAACACCCCGATGCCTTCCTGTGACCCGTGTAACAGTACAAGAACCCTTCTATCACACCACCGCCCACGAACCAGCCCCAGCCCGCGGCCCTTCAGGGTTAGGTGGAAACTCAAGAAAGCACCTGGCAGGCACTCGACACCAGCACCTCGGGGTGTAGGGCGTCACCAGGCAGCACTGTCCCGTCAGTGCCCCCAGAACTACGAGACGAAGCACCCATGACTGAGGAGGCACTGTGGGTCTGCTGGGGGGCCAGGGACAAAGAAGGGGGACAAGACAGAGTTCCCCACCCCCAGGGTGGAGGGCAGCAGGGCAGAGAAGCAAAATCAGGTAAGGTAGTGCTGATGAAAACTTCCCTGGCAAAACCATGCAGAAACAAGCTCAGGCCCCCCGCCCCCGTCTGTGTTTGCAAATGAAGTTTCGTTGCAACGCGCCGCACCCGTCCATTTACTCCTTGCCCACATGCCTCTCACGCTACGTGGGCAGAGGCAAGTGTCTGCAGCACAGCCTATCCGGCCCCCAGAGAGAAACCTCTGCCTTGTTCTAGAACATGCTAGGGGAAGGGCAGCGGGGTCAACCTCTGGGGAAGGAAAGTGGCAACATCTGTCAGAACTGTAAATGCCCCCGTATACCCACTTCTAACAAGTCTACTTCTCGATTTTAACAGAACCCCCCCACCCCCACCCTTACGGAAAATAGCCTCGGTGTAGAGTCACTCTTTAACCCACTGCCAGCAACAAAACGGGGATGGAAACAAGCCCAATGGCCGACACGTGGGAGAAGGAGAGACGGCTGTTAAACTCAACGGAATAGTGACTGCAGCTGTGGGCGCCAGAGTGCCCTGGTGCACTGACCCCCAAAGACCCCCAAAGCACGCAACTAGGGAAGGCAGGGCTGAGAAAAGCTTGGGAGAAAACACTCCATTTTTGTAAAAAACACAGCAAGGAGAACACACATAGTCACCCCTGCTTCCGCTCTGGGGTGCTCATGGCAGGGGGAGTGGGGGGCACGCACTGCGAGACAAGCAAACCAGAGGCTATGCACCTGTCAATGCAGCAACACTGGGGCCGAGTCCAGAAACCACTCTTGGTCTGCCAGGGATTCCGATCTTGCATGGGCACCCGGAGCCCAACCACAAACGTCTGGACTCTGGAAGAGGCCCCTTGCTCCAGTGCCCCCCACCTACCACCCCCACAAGAAGACACACCGGAATTTTTAGGGTCCGTGACAATCACGTTCAGTCAGCATCAGCCGTTTCGTGAAAGTGAATTCTACGGTCCAGTGAGCAAGTTTCTAACCTGATTCTATGACAGAGAAACATATATTGAAAACAAAACCTTCTACATACCTGCATCCAAAAGAAGAGCCGTTTGGACCCTGCCTTGAACTTGAGCACATAGACCCTCCCACTGGGGCACTGCGGCACGCGCTTGAACTCACAGTCGTCAGGAAAGATGATCAAGTCCTTCCAAGAGCCACAG